TTGAAGCCAATACCACACTGTTTTGAAACTGGAAAATATGAGTTCTGTTACTTTTTTTTAAAGGTTCTTTTGGCTATTTGGAATTCTTTTTTTTAGGTTCTTTTGGCTGTTTGGGGTCACTTGCATTTTCCATATGAATATTAGGCTCATCCTGTCCATTTCCACAAAGAATATTTTGGAATTTTGATAGGAATTGAATGGGATCTATAGATCAATTTGGGGAATACTGCAATTCTAACAATATTAAGTCTTCTAATCCACAAAAAGAGACATGCTTCCATTTATTTAGTTCTCCTTCAATATCTTGCAATAATGTTTTATTTGCAATATTTTATTTAGTGTACATGTATTTTATACTTTTTTGATGAAATTTATTTCTAAATATTTTATTATTTTTGCTGCCATTGTAAAGAGAAATTTTTAAACTTCATTTTTCATTTGTTGATTGCTAATGTATAGAAATACAACTGATAGTTGCATATTGATCTTGTATCCTGAAACTTCTCTGAGCTCATTTATTACCTTTTTTTTTTTTTTTTTTAACATTTGCCTGTGTTTATGACAAATACTCCCAGAGTATGGCTTTAGCTCTAGGTGAGTTTCAAATTAGGCACCATAAAGGCAAGCGTTTTGAGGTGGTCTTCCTGGGATCCAGCAGACTGATCAAAACAAATAATACAGTTTTTGTGAATAAGTCTGTTTTGCTCCCTCTGGACTGGTAGCAGGGATACAGGATGGGGTTTTCAAGGCTATCACTGAGCCGGAGCATGGTGGATGGGATTAGGCTAAATTACAAAGCAACAAAGCTTGCTTTTCTTACTGAGATTCAACTGTCTTTCTTGAATAAGTGTTCCCTTGGTTACAGCAAGCTTTTGGTTAGTTTCCAGAGTTGTGAAAAGCTGATTCTGCTAGTTTTTGCTAGTTTTTTTCATTGCTTTTTATGAGGGATGGACTTTTGGAGGTTTCTCTTTCACCAATTTTATAGACATCAAGTTCTCCACCACCTCTACCTCTCATCTTCCCCCATCTTGAATCTGGATTCCTCTGAATTCCTCTGAGCCTATGAAAGTGGTTTACCCCTCTCTCTCATTTGCAAAAAAATGCAAAGTTCATTGCCTCACAAGACAACATGTGGCCCCTCAGCTCCACAGCCTCCTTCCCTCCTAGCACCAGTCTACAGCTAAGGTTAAATTATAGGGGACCCAGCCCAGGGTGTCCCGATTCTGACAAGGGAGGAAATGGATTACCCCAAAGAATAATGATCAGCACTGTAAACTTGGGAGCTGGAAGGGGACACATAAGACTGCATTCTAAAGGTGCTGTTTTGAACAAATTGGTCAAAACGGAAGGTTGGGTAAAGGAGAGCTTTTTGATTTGAGCGCAGTTTTCCGGGTTGCAAGATTTAAGTCTCTGGCAAGGACCTCAGAATACAGCATGAACCTGCTACTATGCAGGATTCCCAGAATCCTAGAAATAGTGATGGTCCATGCCAGGTGAGGTGGAAATGCCAGAATTACCATGGCTGACATTGGAGAAGATGAAAAAGCTCAGAGAACTGGGTGCTCCGGGGTGGATAGACTCTGTAAGATGGAAAACTCACTAAAAGCAAATGTGCAATGGGAAGGCCTTGAGAATTTGCCAGGGCCATGAGGAGTGCGCTGGTGTGGGGAACCAGCATCCGTGAGAGCTTTGGGATGGATCTCCTCTGCAAAGCAGGGCTGATCTGGGGAGAGGCTAGACAGAATTTGGCTCACCGATAGCAATGGGGCAAGACCCAAAACCCAAAAGCCTGTGGAGGAACTTAATCACCCAAAGCCAGATGAGTGTAATCACTATAATAAATGGCAAAGTTGGAGGGTTGGTCAGTTGACCTGACTGCCCAAGAGTTACAGAGATGGTTTATATACTATAGCACTCTTAGGGGAAAACTAAATGTGCTGCCAACAAGGTTACCGCTCAATCTGTGCCAACAAAAGAAAGCATGAATGAATGATCAGAGGAGATTTGGGAGCAATTGCTTCAATAAGTCGTCATGGTTATTTAAGGGGTTGCTGAAACTGAGCCAATTTTTTAACCTGAAACTTATCTATTAATAAGTGATTGGGTCTCCAGGAGGAAGGATTCTGTAACCTCACAGCAAGTGTACATGATGATGACTACCCCAGTCTTTCCCTAAAGGGACTTATGGCCGTTTACTCAGGTAACTGTGCACTAGAGAAGGATTCACAAAAGGATTATTGAACATAGGGCCAAAGCTGACATAGATATACAGGAACTCAAAGCATTATCATGGCCCCCATATAAGAGGTTGGGCATTTTTTCGGGTGGGTAATAAATTGATTCATGGCCAAGGTTAGGTTCTCAGAGTCCAATGATAATTTCCCTGGTCCCCAAATGTACACTTGGAATCGATATCCTTGAAGATTGGCCTGACCTCCACATTAGGTCCTCGGACTATAGGGGGAAGAGCCCAAGTGAAAGCCTCTGAAGTGGTCTCACCCCACCTCTTGTCTCCATGAAGATAGTAAATAAAAAGCAATATTGTATCCTCATGGGGAGGGGTGATGGAATTAGTGTCCCTCGTAAAGATCCAAGGGGTGTAATGATGGTGTTTTCCAACATATCTTTATTTAAGGCACCACTCTGGGCCCTGAAAAGCTCAGGTGAGTTCTGGAGAATGATAGTAGACTACCACAAACTTAATCAAGTAGTAGCCTGACTTGCAGCTTCCATGCAAAATGTGTTATATTTGTTAGAATTTGCTAGGACAGATTAACACAGCCATAGGCGCATAGTATGTGGCTATTTATTTGGCAAATATGTTCTTTTTCATCCTTTGCAGAAAAGAGGGTCAGAAAGATTGTACATTCACATGAAATGGTCCATAGTATAAATCTGCAGTTTGTCTCAGACCTATACTATTCTCTCACTCTTTGTCATATAGTCCAAGGAAATCTGGGCTGTTTTAACACCCTGCACATTGATTTACTATGTCAATGGCATCATGCTAATGGGGCTGGATGACAGGATGTCTCAAGCACTTTGGAATCTTTGGTTAGGCACATGTATTCCAGAGAGTGCCACCTAAACTCCATGAAGATTCTGGGGCTGGTCCTATCAGTACAATTTTTAGTGGCCAGGTATATGCTGTAATATCCCATCTAAGAACAGGACAAATTATTGCATCTCCAACTCCCACCATAAAGAAAGAAGCATAATGTCAACCCATGTGTTGTGTCGCACAGGGGCCACCACGTTGGAGTGGCATCCACAGCAGGAAAGGGCTCTAGAGGAGGTGTGGGCTTTGATACAAGCAGCTCTGCCATTTGGGCCACACAACCTGGCTGATACCATGGAAATAGAGAATCAGTGGTGGGAAAAAGTGCCATGTAGGCTTTAAAACCCATGTCCTAATGGAGGAATTGTAACACTAACCCTTAAATTTCTGGGGCTTAGTCATACCATCTACAATGAGAGCTAGATGCCTTTTGGACAACAACCAGCATGCTGCTGAGCCTTGACTGTGAGGTGCCAAATGATGGCATGACAACAATTGCCTAACACAAGCTGAGTTCTGTCAGAACAACCAAGTCATGAGATCAGGTAATGGGCCCTTGTGTGATAGAGTTAGTATGCTTGGAGTTGAATAGGGGCTGAGCCAGAGGCACAAGTAAGCTTATGAGCGTGTGGCCATGTCACCTACCATTGTTGCACGGTGCCTGCCACCTGCCTTACATCTGTGGCTATAGGGAACATCCTCAGAGGCTAGCTGGAGGGGGAAAAAACCCAAGTATGGTTCACAGATAGATTAGGCTTGCAGTGTGGATGCAAGCCACAAGCTGATAGCAACGGTATTACAACCCCTCTCAGTGGGGACTCAGAAGGCCATGGTGAGAACTTTAGTTAGTATTCCTGATCATCCAATTTATATAGAACAGTAAGTGGCTTGAATTAGGATTCCTGGTCATCCAATTTATATAGGACAGTAAGTGGCTTGAATTAGGATTCAAGCAAGCATATGGGCAGTGGTGAATGACTTGGCTAACTGGTCAGTGGCCAGAAAAAAGAACAGTTGGAAGGCTGGAGACAAAGAGATCTTAGGCAGATGTGTGGAAGCGTGAATATCTCCATATTATATGTTTTACACTCACTAGAAAGTATGGGTCATGGAAGAGGAGCCAGACAACCAAGGCAACAGAATAACTAGGGCAAGTGATGCCAGCCAGCCTCTGTCACTGGCCACCATAGCACCAGCTTACTTCCCTGCCCTATTTTTAGAGGACAAAAGGGAAAAAATGACCTTTCCTTCATTTTTATATCAAAACATATTGTTCCCCCCAAAAGTCATATTGTTCCAGGTACAGTGTGGTAGATTGAATGGTGGCCCACCAAAACAGATGTGTCCATATCCTGACCCCTAGAAGCTACAAATGCAGCCTTATTTGGGAAAAGGGTCTCAGCACATGTAATTAAGGTAAGTATCTCAAGTTGTGATCATTCTGGATTATCTGGACAGGCTCCACATCCAAAGACAAATGTCCTTCTAAGAGACACAGAGGAGACACATACTGGGAGAAAAGGCAAGGGCCATGTGAAGACAGAGGCAGATGGCATGATGCAGCCTCTAGAATATGGAAGTGATAGGACTGGATTCTCTCCTCAGACCTTGATTGTGGATTTCTGGTCTCCAAAGCCATAAGAATAAATATCTGTTGTTTTGAGCCACACATTTATTTGTTATAGCAGTCACAAGAAACTGATACATATGTACCTCAAAGCAAACTAATACCAAAATGAGCAATGAAATAGCTAACTAAAGGTGGAAAATGAGAGTCTTCCTCATTCTCAACTGCTGGCAGCCCACTGAAAGATTCGGGTGACAATGGACTCATGCGGGAACTCATCTGAGGCTCAGTGAGATTTATTACCCACTTAGGAGTTATCCATGTCATCATCCACAATGGAGGTTATATCACTCTCGACAGAGGGTGGTAAAAAAGGTGAAAGTTAGGGATGGAAGGATGCCAATATTCTTCTGTGGTTGAGCCAGGAGATGCTGTTCAGAATTTTAGGACAAGGAATGGAGATAAATAACTTTATTTAAATAGGAAAAATTACAAATTTTTCTGTAGTCATAAAATACTTAGAGGATTATGGTAAAGGAATACTTTATTTTTTGCAGAAGAGGGTCAATGGATTCTGTCAAGGTTTTCTAAACAAGAAATAGTTGCACATTACAGTGGCAATTTCTAGTAGCGCTAAAATGGAAATCATTAAAAATGGTCAATTCTGGGGGACTTGGACGGGTCATATGGGAGATTGCTATTTCCCCATATTCCCTCCTGTATAATTTAATTTTCTTTCATGTGCATCTATTATTTTAATTACATTTTTTTAAAATAAAATATTCCAACAGCCAAGTGTATTTTCAAGATAGAAGGTAGGGGAGAGTGAAGAAGTTCAGAGGAGACAGTACAGTCATGAGTCAGGCCCCCCAGGCCCCCCTCTCAGTCCTGGATATCAGGTGCCTGCCCCCAGAAAGGACAACTTGTAATGGGCTCAAGAATTCTTGGAAGATTTCCAGCGTCATAGAGCTCCTGGTTGTACTTATGCCTGAGAACTCACATTTCATAAAGCCCCCTTTGGCAGCATCAGGGTACATCTGTGTGAAGCCTAGGCTTGGATCACAAATCTGTGAAGAAAGGAACAACAGGAGAATTTACAGATTGAGGAAAGCAGCTCTTGAATCTGGGATGCTTTTATACAGGAATAGCTACACGGGTATAACTACTCCCGATTTCATTAGAGAAGGTACCACTAGCATTAATATCTGTAGCAAGTGACATAACATGTTGCCAGCATTCACAGGCTTGCAAGACACCAGAGGACCCTGGATGTTTTTGGCATTGGAAGGGCTTTTAAATTTGTTTAGAGTAATTTCCATCCAGTTCCATCCAATTTTCTCTTTTTCTCCACTCCATTTAGAATTCCTTTCAAAGATGGATTGGGGGACATAACTTTAATTCACAGAGGGCTACGTAGCTGTGCCTACCAAATACTAAAATGAATGGGCCCTTCTACTAGAGGCTGGAGGAGGCTGGAGAAGGCTGGAGAAAGCTGCACCCAGAAATGCAAGGAGTGTGCGTTTTGCAACACTTCTTGTGGTGGAAATTCTATTTTTTATTTTCTTGGCCAAGTTGACTCAAGAATTCAGGCAGTAACAATTTAACATCTAGAGCAATAAGGAGGGCCTTTTCTGACACAGACTTGGGAGCCAAATGGAGTGTGGATGACATCGGCAGTGATCCCTGAGATTTCCTTGGCGTTCTAACCAAGTCCCTCTTCTTTTTTTTTTTTTTAAAGATTTTTTATTTATTCATTCATGAGACACACACAGTGAGAGAGAGAGAGAGAGAGAGAGAGAGAGGAGGCAGAGACACAGGCAGAGGGAAAAGCAGGCTCCATGCAGAGAGCCCGATGTGGGACTCGATCCCGGGAATCCAGGACCATGCCCTGGACCAAAGGCAGGCACCAAACCGCTGAGTCATCCAGGGATCCCCCTGCCCAAGTCCCTCTTGATAAAATGTCAGTTACTTTGCAAATGTAGAGTCAGGAACTTGGGAAATTCATTATGAATGTTGATAAAGATATAGAATAGACTAATATAAAAAGGACTTAGAACTCTGGCTGTGGATTAGAAACCTGGGTCTGAATTTCAGCTCTTACTGATGGTTGATTTGTTCTTGTTTGAACTTCACTCTTTCTGAAAGAGAAAAAAACAGCACAACCAGGTGGGAAAGCCATCAGATTTAGAATTTGACGGGCTTGGATTTCAGTTCTGTCCTTGCTGTGTTTTGGGTGAATTAACTCTCTCCAAATCTTGGTTTTCTCTTTTAAAAATAACATGAGTTTAAATGAGATGAAGTATGTGAAAAATATCTGGAACATTCTAGTTTCTATTCCACCAAAATAGGGAAGAACAGAAGAAATATAAACAAACAAACAAATAAAAATTCTGCCTTCCAAAATGAGGTGGGAGGAGGGTGGGAGTGAAAAGTGGCAAATTTGGGGACACGAGGTGATGAGGCTCTGAATTGCTCCTTGGATGGGCAAAAACAAGCACTCATTAACTTTGAGGCATTATGTATTTGGGATATGTTTGCTACTTCAGCCACAACTACTTTAATATGAATAATTGGAGCCTTGGGGCCGTTGAGATAGGCCAAGGAGAGTTTGTAGAATGAGAAGAGGAGAGGCATTTTCAGGGAAGCCTGTGGCATGTCCACATGGAAGAGGTCGGCAGAAAGAAGGGACTCAATGAGAGGTCTGAGGAGTGGGCTTTGGGGCCTCAGAATCCAAGGGAGGGAAGTGTTTCCAGAAGGAGGAAGAATTCAGTAACGTTGAAGGTGGCTAGGAAGTCAAAGAGGAACTGAGTTTTCAACCAATTGGATTTAGCCAAAAAGATATTTTTAAAATTCCAGTGTAATTAACATAAGGCACTATCTTACTTTCAGGTTTACAATACAGTGATTCAACACTTCCACACATTACTCAGTGTTCATTGTGATTAAGTGTCCTTCTAACGCCCACCGCCTATTCCCGCCATCCCCCCACCCACCTCCCCTCTGGTGGCTATCTGTCTGTTCTCTAGAGAAAGAATCTGCTTCTTGGTTTGTCTTCCTGCCCCACCCCACTCGCCATTCATTTTGTTTCTTAAATTCCACACTTGAGGGATCCCTGGGTGGCGCAGCGGTTTGGCGCCTGCCTTTGGCCCAGGGCGCGATCCTGGAGACCCGGGATCGAATCCCACATTGGGCTCCTGGTGCATGGAGCCTGCTTCTCCCTCTGCCTGTGTCTCTGCCTCTCTCTCTCTGTGACTATCATAAATAAATAAAAATTAAAAAAAAAATTCCACACTTGAATGAAATCATATGGTATTTGTCTTTTTCTGACTGACTTATTTTGCTTACATTGCACTTTCTAGATCCATCCATGCTGTTGCAAATGGCAAGTGAACAGGAGGTCCTTAATGATCTTGCCACCATAGTCTTAGTGGAGAGGTGCCTATAAGTGAAATGACAGCAGTGGAGGAGCAAGGCGGGGGGAGAAGCAGGTGATCTGGAGAAGGGGTGGGCAGTGCCCAGGAGGAATGGCGTTCTAGGAAGCTTGGCTTCTTCCTTCTTCCTCTCTCTCTTCCTTTTGATTATCCTTCCCTTTATCCCCTTCCATCTCCTTCCCTTCTTTTCCTTCTTTGAGTATAGAGACCTAAGCATGCTTATATAACGATGAAAAAAGAAATTGAAGATACAGGCAAACATTTTCCAAAACTCTGATCTGCTGCCCAGATGGCTTTCTCATCTAACCAATAAATGGCCACTCAAAAGGCTCCAGCTGGATGTTCTCTGGGGGCTCGAAGTTCAACATGCCTAAAACAGATTTTCCCCCTTTCTCCTAGCTTTCTGCCTTTTTAGACTCTTGACTGGCACCACCATCCATTCCTCCAGCTGCCAAGTCAGATATCTGTGGTCACCTAAGATTCCCAGTACCTTCCCATCCATCAGTCTCACTTGTCCCCACTGTCACTCTTAAGTGCAGCTGCCACTTCCTCTTCCTTGGACCACCTAAGTGGCCACCTTGCCTCAAGCCTCATATCCTTAAAGGCATTTTCCTCCATTTAGCAACCTCATTGTTCCAAGAATTTCTTCATTCTGAATCCCAGCATGTAGGAAGAGTTTTGTAGCCTTCCAAATGTGACATGTGGCTTCCTTGTCTTTGCCTTTGTACACGCATCCTTCTCAGTCTGGACTGCCCTTTGCCCCATGTATCAGACCCAGCTGAAGGGGTTGTCGGACTCCCAGCCAAAACTGACCACCCCTTCTTTATGTTCCCAGTGTTCCAGCCTTTGATCTGAGAGCACATGCCTTTCACCCTTTCTACTGCAGAGAGTAAGCTCTTTGAAGAAAGGGATAGTGTTTTATTAATCTCTGTACCTCCAGCACCTGGCCCAATAACGGGACTGACTGAATGAATGAATGAATGAATGAAAATGAAGACAAGGCTAATTGTGATTTTGTGGAATTGGTTCCTGGTCACACATTTTGGATTCAGTTCTCTACCGAGCCTAAAGCCACCAAGTCACATTGGCACCATCCTCCCATACTTCTCTTACCTACAGGGGACTGTCACAGACCTCATCAAACTATTTGCTGCACTGTGTAAATTTCCCCAAACACACTGCTAGAACATATCAATCCTTTAAGATGATCTGTGATAGAAGGATTCTATGGTCAACATAAGCTGCAAAGACAGTGCATATGACATTCCTCTCTTGGAAATATACAATGCACCCAGAGGGCTCTGAGAAGTTTTACAGTAAAAAAGTAAAATTTGGTTGCAAAGCCTGTCCAAACTTATTTGAATTATTTTTTTTCTTCAAGTCACACCTTGAAATTTTAATATCTTTTAAAGTTTGTCCAAAATAATCTTACTGTTTACTAACACAGGGGGTTATGCTAGTACTATCACGTATTTGACTCCTGTGCACTGATTTTTAGTGTCTTCTTCTGCAAACCAAATGGCATCTGACAGTTTTTACAATATCCATTCTCCCATAAGCAATGTATTTTGAGTTTATGACATGTTTTAGAAATTATCATTTCCTCCATCAAGAAAAAAATCGATGCCCATCTGAAAGATTACATTTGTCTTATGAGGTTTGCATTTGTGTTGGACAAAACTTTTTGTTCTTCCTAATGGCTTGGGGGTTAAATGAAATAAGACCTATCAAGTTGCTATTTTGATTTATTTGAAATGTATGTGGGCTAAAGTCAGGTCTTGCTTCCTTTGGGACTTCAGCCTCTGTAAGGAAAGGCAAGAATTATTTTCTAACATGCTCTGGATGGCAAGCTTTATTATTTTTTTGAAAGACTTGATATATTAGAAAGAGAAAGAGCACAAGCAGGGGGAGCAGCAGGCAGAGGGAGAAGCAGGTTCCCCGCTGACCAGGGAGCCCCACAGGGGACTCGATCCCAGGACCCTGAGATCATGACCTGAGCCGAAGTCAGGTGCTTAACTGACTGAGCCACCCAGGCACACCTGGATGGAAAGCTTTAAATTTAAATATTTCATGTTTTTGAATATGAGATTTCAGAAATTTAGAGTGTTTCTGTACATGCCTCTTGGGCAAAAATCCATACTCCCTGTTTAAAAATTAAAAGGTATTTGATCATGTAAAAAAAAATCCACCTGTCTAGTTGATTTCTACAGGTGAGCTGGTACCATGTTAAATGATCTTTCTTTTAATGTCACAACACTTCTGTCCACTATGTGAAGTTTAAGGGACTGCATCTGTGAGCAGGGAGCACTCATTCACGCAATATCTGGAACAGTCTCCCCTGCTCACATTCATGAGCATGGCTTTTCCTAAAAGGTTAATGCTAATCTCAAATCCTATCCCAGAGCTGGTATTTAAAAGCTCAATTTCACATTTTTTTTCCAAGCCAAATTTCCTAAATATTTGGGTTAACAAATACCATGAAGGAGGGACTTGTCATCTGAAAAATCATACTTAGAATTATGATTCCTGTGGTGTTTGCGTCATTTCACATCTGAGCGAGACTTGTGCTAATCACTTCGGACAAGCATCTGCAGAAAGTTGTTTGATGTTCTCTCATGGAGATTTCACAGTCATGA